GACTAAAACACTTACCACTTAAGGACTAAACACACACTTGCCAAAGAGATTCATTCTGTGGCCTTTTGCTGTGCTTTAATTCTCTCATGCCTTTTGCTATGCTTTCATTCTCTCATGCCTGTGCGCATATATACAACTTAATGTTTGTATTCAAATAAAGTTACCTCCTGGGGCCAATTTCATAGAGCTGCTTCAACACAAAATTTGCTCAAGTGGGAAAAACTTTGCTTAATAAACAAAGGTTACCTGCTCAAACTGTATCTGATTGTCATGCTTAACCCAAAACAGCTAAATACAATCCCCAAACAATATACATCACATGGAGTTTTGGGTGGTTACCTGATTTATCAAGTGAGGTTTTATCGCGCTTAAGCAAATTTTGTGCTAAAGCAGCTCTATGAAATTGGCCTAGGGCACCTGGTCTACAAGTAGACATTACCACTATCATGGCCTGATTTCATGCATATGTTTTTAATAGTCTTTGAATGTATCAACAGTAACTCACACCTTTAGCTTTAAATTTAGCCACGACAGTGTTTTTGCTGAAAGTCTCATGATATTTGGAATTTGTGCATCTCCCCCGTTATCTCAAAAGATTTATGATGCTGGATCCTTCACAATAACCCATCTAGTCTTTGAGAAGGAGACAGCTGTACAAACAGAAAAACTATGAAAGTATTGACTATGCTTCGGTTGTCACATGGGCTTTTGAATACATTTTGGTTTCTAAAATGACATAGGTACTCAACCACTAAAGATTGAAAAAAGCGTCTATAGATCAGTGAAGGATTTGCACAAGTTATTACTTATGGGGTTTCAATACGGCCAGGCCATTCAGGATAAAACATTTGACATCAAGTCAGCTCGAACATGTTCAATGCTTATAAGTTGGCATACATGCATGACTACACTAACCTGGCCAATCTTGTTGACGTAGATTGATCATCCCAAATAATTTATAGTATGCTTCATTTGGTGCAACTGCTGGTGGAAAACTGAACTTGCTTATTGGGCTAAGCAGGATCTATTGGGTATAGATCCAAAGAAGTGAGATCATGGAGTAACAGGAGAATTAAAGACCGCTCCTTATGCGGTTATAAATCATTTGCTACTGCAATAATGATCTAGTACAGGCTTCTCATTCACAGAGATCTTTTATGAAATTCGACAACCATTGCTTTTGGGTTGGCTGATCACAACTGTCTCTGAGCCCCTTGAGGTGATCTATGATCACTGATCTAGCATTGCCACTCTTTCCACAACAGAACCGGATGAGCCTTTCATTTTTTTGTACAGTTTCCAAAGTTACCTTTGGCAAGAACTTTTCTCTCACACATGTCTCTCCGCCACTGCCATGAACCAAATAGCAAGCTACCAGGTATTCCTGGTAATAGACTCTTGAGAATTTCACAATGGATTTCTGGTTCTCCCCAGTGCTGTAGCTTTCTTCCAACAAAACCCCAATCTCTAATCCAAATTTTAGAGCACGACCATCAGGAAACTCATCTCGGAAGAACTCTGACCTTTTTCGTTGGTCTTCCAGCAAGTCTGTCAGAGCAACTTCACCGATACTTGATCTAAGCCTATCAAAATCTTGCCAAGCTGAGCCATCTTCACACGAAATGTGTTGGACCAGCACATCTACTGCTTTGTCAAACAATGCCGCTATCTGTTGAGGGAGAGTTTTGTTGTCCTTCCATATACGACACAGTACTTGCAGCATGATTGGGGATTTGGCAAGAGAACTTATTATCTCAGAAGCACGAACTGTTTCAGTGAGTTTTTGTGCTTCTTGACCAGGCCCAAGGGACTTCCCAATGTATTCAGCAATGTTCTCAGAAGAGAAACCATCTGTTTTGACAACAGTGTACTTGCTGGAGTAGCGCTGAAGCTGCTCAAGTTGATGGCCGCTGATAGTTACAAGCAGTGAGCATTTACTGAGTGCCTTGAAAGAAAGTAAATTCTTCAATGACCAGTCATCATGGGGAGTTGACGAACGAAACTCTTTAGAAGACAAACACGAACCATCAACTATGATCAGCAACTCTTTCTCATGTTTCTCCAGATGATGCTTCAGTTGCCATTTGGGAATCTCAGACTTTGTGGGTAGGAGCCTCGTATGAACAGCCTCCAAGAAACCTGAGGTACCACAGATTTCCTTCATCCTAAGGATTACCACATATTTGAAGGAAGATCTGCCATGGTTTGCCCAATCATAACCAATTTTTCCAATCAATGTGGTCTTTCCACATCCTGCACTTCCCACGACAGCCACATGGTGGTTGCCATGCAACAACTTCATCAGATCATCAAGCGAGTTCAGTTTTGTTTTAGTTTCATCTGTGTGACATATGTCTGGAAAGACAAAGATGTCCTCAGTTGCCCTTGTCTTGGAAAACTCTGTGGTATGAATGGGGGTGGTTTTCATCTCATCCTTGTAATATGTTTTCAGTTGATTCAAAAACTCTTCACCTATATCTGGAAAAAAATTCAAAAAGTGCATTAATTTTCAAAGTTCCAGGGTGTAAATTCTTCCACACCATAATTTTCTGACAAGCATTACTGCCAGCTACATGGGATGTTTTTAGTGTTTAAGTGTCAACCACAGCAATTTCAAACTGGTGATGTGACTTTTTTAATAACACTGACACAGGAAAACGGTGCTTTTGGTAACATTCCCAAAAGATAGGAAAAATGTTCTCAAACTGAATGTAATACTTTCCCCCACCTTTCAGAGAACTTTCTGGGTCGCTCTCGGGAGTTCTCCTGTATTGCCGTTTATCTCCCCACTTCTGCAAAGTAAGGGAAGAAAAGGAACATGAAAAATGTTGCTAGTTTCCCGATAAAACATGTACGTTCACATTACATAACTGTTTTGGTATGTAAAATCAACCATGTATGGTAATCAGTTTTTGAATTTGTATCAACAGCTTATTTAAAAAAAAACATCTGACTATTCTACTAGCATGCTCGGCACATATAGCGTCTTTTTATATATATGTATAGGGAAGACAAATTTTGAACAGAATTTGGGGGCAATTTTTTAGGACCTGGCATGACTAACTCTAAGAGATGTGATGGACACAAACCTTGTACACAAGCA